GCAAACTAAGGCTCCCCCAAAGGCCAAGAAGCCGAAAGCCGCTGCTAAGAAAGCTAGTGCTGCTCCTCCGAAGTGAGTGATGTGGGCACTCGGTCGACAATGACCTTGAGGTGTAGACATGTGGTGTATCCAGTTTGCTATTCGACCTTAGATTTGGGGTATGGAATATACGATCTATTATTATAACCCCGGGCCCTTTATAAACGACTCACAACCCCGAGACTCCAAATAAACCTATTCATCATATCATGCCCCTACTGGCCGATGGCGACTGCTACTTTTGACCACATGCTCCGAACGTGCGAAGTTTCCTACAGCTGTGTGCTGCAGCAAGGCATGCAGTGCTGCAAGTTTCATCTCGATGTCATCGATATCTAGATCTAGTACATGCAAAGCTCGACGGGGCTAGGGGATCCTGGGCGAGCGCCTCAAGTGAGAAAAGCTAGCTTTGTTCGGTCGAAACCATGCACATTGTGCGGCCATGTGGCATGTATTCGATCACCCATCCGGAGCATCACTCCACCCTGCGCAGGGCAGTGTGGGCGATCGGTGCTATGTCACGAGCTGAAGGGCATGGTCTCTGCAGGGGACCGGCTTGCTACATCCGGGTTGCTACGTATACGTGGTTTTAAACTGAGCGAGGTTCTTGTATAATTAGGTGCCCCAAATGGCCCCACAGTCCTTCTGAAATGTGCACTTGCATGCAGGATCTCAGCTACTGTGCCGCACGGAAAATCGCACATGCCTCTGCGAAGGAGCATTCGGATGTCAAACTTACGTGCAGGTTGTCGATTATGCTGAGCCATGTACATGTGCAGGAGTTCGAAGGCCTCGGTGTGCGGCCAGTGCAGGAGCTGCTCGACCTCGCTAGTGCTGGATCTTTTGGGGCCTATGAATCGAACATCGAGCGTGATGTTATGAGACGAGCCTTCGGAGGAACTGCAGCTTGTCTACATGCTCGGATTCGGTCTTGTGCATTCCTAGCTTCCATCGACCAGGGGTTAATGCCAGCAAGGTGCCAATCCACTATGTGCCGGTGCCCATCCGCAACCGCCATCCGGAGACCAAAGAGTGGCGCACAGAAGTAAGGACATGGTCGCATGTACATGTGTGGTGTTCACTTGTGGTGTTCAATGTGCGCTGCTATGCATGCATGTGATCGATATCATGTTCTAGTCACCATATGCAGGCAAATGCCCCTGGTGCTTCCTCACGAGCTTTGCTTATACCTTCACAGCAAGAACTTGTACAAGGAGTATGCACGTGAAGCTGAGCTCAAGAAGTTCTGGCACCACTTCAAGCAATGCACCAATGCAACCATTAAGTGGCCCTCAATGTGGGAGGCTTCTGATGTGCCAATCGGCCTTCATGGTGACGATTGCAGGTTCACTGAAAGTGGCCAGAAGGTGATTTGTGTAAGCCTGAACTACCTACTGGACGAATCCCAAAAGCGGTTCCCACTCTTCATCATCCGCTTCGAGTCTCGGCTGCATTGTTTAAAAAAGCTGTGGTATAGATGACGATCTCCTGATGTATATCCTTCTGATGCTACACACAGGCGCTGAGCACAGGATTTGATACATTGGAGGCATACATGAAGCCGGCTACTTGTTTGCAAATATTTATTATTCTACAGTACTAGTGTGCATGTCGACGTCGTGTTTCCTGATCATGAGCATTATATCCAGTACCATGAACATCAGTGCGAATCGAAATGATGAGGTGGCCGCCAGCCTCAACCTTGCATGCAGGGGCATATCCCCTCCACGATTTATTGCAAAACCGGAAATT